GAACACGGCCGGACAGAGGGAGCACGGCCGGACAGAGGGAGCACGGCCGGACAGCGGGAACACGGCCGGACAGCGGGAGCACGGCCGGACAGCGGGAACACGGCCGGACAGCGGGAGCACGGCCGGACAGAGGGAACACGGCCGGACAGCGGGAGCACGGCCGGACAGGGGGAGCACGGCCGGAACGGAGACACCGCAGGCAGAACACAGGAAATGGAAGCAGAGCACAGCAACACCGCGCACAGAGAATGCGATCGCAGGAAGTGAGCTCACGGGAACGGGAGCACGGGAAGTGTGACCCGGGAAGTGGAACACGCGGGCAGGGAGCGCGGCATGGCGTGCGGCCCCATGGCGGCCAAGAGGAAGCGTGGAGCGCTGGCTGCTGCGGGGAAGGCGAAGCGCCCCAGGAGAGCCCCGARCGCGGGCGAGGCGGTGCCGGAGGGAGCCCCGCACCAGCGGGAGCAGAGCAGCCCGCCGCAGGAGTACAGCATCCCGCCGCCCGTGTCCCAGGTACCGCCGCTCCTTCCGTGCGGGGCTCGGGCTGTCTGAGGGAACGCGGCTGATAAGCCACGRCAAAGGGGTTTATTCGTAATTCTTTATAATCCCGTGTGTTGTTTCCCTGAGAATACGCGAAGAGTGCAATTCTGGTCCGTGTCGATAAGATTTGTTACCCCAATCTCAGAAGTATTTGAAAGAGTTGGGTAATTGTGTTGTATACAGAGGATGTATGAAAATTGTGCCTGCTTCACTTAGGAATCAGCCGGAGACGGTTTCGGCAATTGTGTTTGCTTACGAGGAAAACGTAAAGAACCGCGTGTAAACCTAAAATTTCGCAATATGCCTATCGACAGTAAAATCCCGGGCTGTGCTCTGGAGCTGTACCTGGAGCTCATTTTGGAGGAAAATAACGAGTGCCTTTTGTGAATAAACGATGCACGTGACTTTTTAATACTCTGGTGGGAGTGAAAGTCTGTGCCTGGGAGCATACGATGAAGACTATTCGTCCTGTAAAAGCAGTGCCCTCCCTATTCTACAGGGAAGTCACCACTCTTGCTGAGAGGGTGGTTTTGTCTGGGTAGGTAGATAAAAAGGAAGGTTCTCTCTGTATTTACTATATTTACAGTCCAAACTTCTATTTTTGCTGCATTGTAACAGTATTAAGGATAGAAGTTGTAACAGTATTAAGGATAGAAGTTTCTCAAATAACTGTTATGTCTTTTTTCTAGGGCAAATGGAAAAACAAGGAGCGAGTGCTGATATTCTCCTCTCGTGGAATTAACTTCAGAACAAGGCACCTAATGCAGGACTTAAGGACATTGATGCCTCATTCCAAAGCAGGTAGGCTTAAACATAATTCCTAACTTTTATTTGGAGARTACTTCTAAGCCTAGAGCTGCTAGGAGCTTATTCTTTTATTTTTTAAAGATATCCAATATGGAAGTGCTTTGATGAAACTTTCATCTGAAACAAACACCAAGCCCCTTTTGAGGCAACAAGTACAGCAATTGTTGTATCTTAATTTCTGGGRAATGAATCCTATGGCATCAGTCTTGAACCTAAGCAGTTAGTTTTGTTGCTGTGTTTATTTATTCCATAGCATGGCAGAAACGATTTGATAGTTGATCTTTCATATATAAACTAGCAACATTTTTATGAAAGGATTGACTGTTAAAAAATTCTTCCAAATCTATTAAATCTATTAAATTTGCTTTCCAGCCTTGTAAATATTGTTTTTTGTCTTCCAGATACGAAAATGGACCGTAAAGACCAGTTATTTGTAATCAATGAGGTAATCAAGGAATTATCTAGTGCTTCTTTATTTTACTTTCTAAGGAAATTCAGTGTGCAAAGAAAAGGACAACCAAGTTCAAAGGATCTCATACTAGTTACAGGAGTGGTGTAACTCCATAGACAAAAATTACTGATATTCAAAAAGCACTCAAGTTTAAACATAAAGTTGAAAAAAAAAAGAAAAAAGAAAACCAGAATGAAACTTTTAATTAGATGCAGATTTTCATAATGAAGAAATAAAGCATGATATGCTTTTCTGTGTAGGTGAAAGGTGTAGTACAGCTTATACTTGAATAATACAGGACACAAATAGGCACCCAAACCCAATGTAGTAGGACACTGGTAGTTCTGAACTTAGAACCAAATGTCTCAGCTCTTGCTCTTGTGTTTATATTCTGGAGAGCTAAGCAGGTTGTTTGTAGCTTTAATGAAGTTATTACTCCTTGTAATAATTTGGGGATCAGTAGGTGTCATTTAATAAGACAAGATCTTTTGCATTTTGGAGAGGGAAAAATATTAGAGATGAATGTGGAAAGTTTTCAAAAATGTCTTCAGAATGTTTGTAAACAGCTAATTTGATGTGTCTTGTGTAGGTGTGTGAAATGAAAAACTGCAGTAAGTGCATCTTTTTTGAAGCCAAAAAGAAACAGGATCTCTACATGTGGTAAGGAAATGTTGTATGTTGTTATATTTAGTTTCATAACTCAAGTTTTCTACTGTAATAGTAAAGATGCTTGAAAAAGTGTTGCTTAGTTAAGTCTGTTCTAATATCGTACTTCTGTGGATAGTGCAAATTTACAATGCGTGATCAGCTTTTGGAGATGGTTTGCAGAAGTATTTTACAAAAATTTTTAGAAAGCAGGTGTTCATGAGCATGTTAAAGGARCTAAATACTAATATAAAAGTGACAGAAACTACTTCAGTACAGAAATAACTGGTCGGGGTGTAGTGTGGAAATTTAGCAAATCTTCTGGCTGCTACGTAACTTTTTTCTTTTCTCTCTCGCCCACCACCTGTCCTCTGCAGGCTTTCAAACACACCACAGGGACCATCTGCTAAATTCTTGGTGCAGAATGGTAAGCTGCTTGACATTTTTCTGTTTGTACTCTTCCTACTTTGTCTGAAAAGTTTTCTAATAGTAGTAAAATAACTTTTTTTTGAAAAAAATCACTGTAGTTCACACATTGGCTGAATTGAAGATGACAGGAAATTGCCTAAGAGGTTCAAGACCCCTTTTGTCTTTTGATCCAGTAAGTACAGGTTTTATTTCATTGAATATTTTTATTTTCTTTGTATGWCTATTGCATTTAGCCTTATGTGTAAAATCACATTTTTATTCTTTGTAGATATTTGAYCGGGAGCCACACTATGCCCTGCTAAAAGAATTGTTTATTCAGGTCAGTCTGTAGTTCTGCTGTCCAGTGTTTATTCACTGGAAATGTTTTTTTAGTCACGTACTTAAAAATTGCAAGTGTTTTTTTCAAGTAGCAGTTSTATACTTCTGAACTTTGAAAAGATCACAAAGAATCGGGAGCATATTCTTAGCATGACTCAAGACACTTGTTCTTAAGTATGTTCTTAAGTATTATGAAATGTAATCTGGGTTTGGGATCTTAATAACTTAAAAGGAATTTCAGATGGGTCATTTATGTTTGACTTCTTAAATTGCAGATACTCAGAAATACTGGTTTTTATTGCAGATTTTTAGCACACCTCAGTACCACCCCAAAAGCCAGCCCTTTGTCGATCATGTTTTCACCTTCACCGTTACTGAYGAAAGGATCTGGTTTCGCAATTACCAGGTCAGTGATCTCTCTTGGCTCTTTAGAAGAAGCTTAGGGGAGTAGTTTCATATCAAATCCATTACCTAAAATAAAATGAGAAGAATCATTATTATTGTGCAGAATATGCCAGCCCCTAGTGCTTGCAGATTGAGTGTCCTGAAATGACTTACCTCCTTCCATATCCTTGGAGAGATCTGGTTCACTCAGTTTGCATTCAGTGAGTTGTGATTCTGCGATGGATATCTTGGTAGCAGGAAATACTACCAAAAGTCTAAACTCTGTATTTTAGCCTAAACTGCTGCTTTGACCTAAAGTGAGCTGGAGCTTACTTTCTGTAGAAGGAATTCACAAATACCTAGTACTTAAAARCTTGCTTGAATTTAAAAGAACTGCTTTATGAACAGAACTGGGTTCATACAAATCTAGTTAATTGGTTTCTCTGCCACTTTATTTGGATTTAATTCTGTTGTGTATTACCATATGCAAGATGCCTACAAACTCAATCTATGAGAAATGGAGAACATTTTCTTTTTATTGCAGATAATAGAAGAAGATGCATCTCTAGTAGAAATTGGGCCTCGTTTTGTCCTAAACCTGATAAAAATCTTCCAAGGTAGCTTTGGAGGACCAACTCTGTATGAAAATCCTCATTACCAATCCCCAAATATGGTAAGCAGYTCTGTGTTTGTTTTCTCTTTCACTTAGCAACTAATTTGAGAGCCAGTTTTAGAGTTACTCTGTGCAGGAGAATCAAGTGTGCCTTTCCCCATAACCCTTTGCAGAAAAGAGTGCCCTAAACTGATGACACTTTGAAAACAGAGTAATGCCATCTCTGAAATCATTAAATGAATGCAAAAATCATGTCACTGAAAAGATGGGATTACACTGAAGATCTTGACCATTAAGCAGAGAAATTACCATTTTTTTCTTTGATAYAGTATTTCTTCCATATTGCTTATTTGAAACGTGGTGAAATTTAAATTCTTATTTTTACAGCATCGCCGGCTGCTAAGATTGTCAGTGGCAGCTAAGTTCAGAGAGAAGCAGCAAGTGAAAGAAGTGCAAAAGATTAAGAAAAAAGGGACTAAGGTCCTTGTTGAAGAAGATCCTACCGAGGTGGTCTTTGAAACTCCAGCTGAAGAAA